CGGTGTACTATACACATAATCAACAAGTGAATTTCCATTTGAAGTAATACAAGTAAATTTTCCAACATTTTTGTCATTACCAAAACGATTATTTAAAATTCTAATACCCGTTTGTTTGCATAAGTCTAAAAGCATAGTTCCATAGTCATTTAAATGTCTCTTATCTTGTGATACTCGTGGTAAAATAATTATCAATACAATATTCATCAGGTAATATATCAATATTAGAAAAATTATCATCTACAACAAAGTCTGCACTGTCAGATGCGCGTGAGTTCATATCACCACATAACACAATGTTTAAATTTCCCTCATACTTTAAATCTAATTCAACAAGCTTATCTAAAAGTCTATCATATGTGTGTGTATCCATTAATGGAGCCCTAGTACTATTTTTTGGGATAACATATAAAAGACAAATCAATAAATCATCTTCAAGACCCAACTTATCTTTACTTATCTTTATACAGACTATATCGTCATTACTAGTAAACACCATCATGTCACTTGTGACAAATGTATTACGTACGTAAACCATTACACCACCAGACGACATATGCGCATTTGGGTGAATATCAGTTCTATTTACAGAAAAAAGTTCAAAATTTTCAACGTTATAGTTAAACATGCTATTTCCCCATGTTTCTGTAAGAAGCACCAAATCATTAGAACTGAACACTTGTGTTGTAACTCCGGAGAGTCTAATTTATTTGTTCGTTTTGTGATAAGACCCTGAATGTTCAACAGAGCACAACGTAGCTTCACCTTCTGGTTGTCGCATGCCTAGTGGTTTGTTTGCGCTTCCGTAGTTGAAACTCCGTCGTCATTTACCTGCCTATTTTCAAGGTCACTAGACTGTAACACAGGTGTAGAGTGTCTATTTTTAGACTTGGATTTTCCCACACGCGATGCACTAACACTTTGTTCTCGCCGGTTGTAAGGTTTTGATGATTGTGTGCGCTTATCAGCCCGTGAAGTTGATCGAACTGTCTTAGAAACTGACCGCCCACGCACTGGTGATTTAGCTGTGTTGACATGATTTTGTAATGTGTAAGTTTCAGTGGATTTTACATGTGTTTCCTCTAAAAGAGAGTCATTTTGATTATGCACATTATTACGTGTAGCAACACTATCGTTCATCGGTTTTAATAACAAAGTTTCATCACTATTTTGTATACTATTGTCGACCAAAATATGGGACTGTGTACCATGATTGTCACATGCCGTTTCAATATGCTCTTTTGTGACGATGCTAGGCCGAACAAAACGTGACATATGATGCTCAGAGACAGGAGGGTTATAATCAACATTTGCTTGCGGGACAATAGTAGGGTGCATCTGTTGCGCAACACTAGGAAAAGCAGCCAACTGCTGTCTTATTATTTCACTGTTCATAGTGGGATTTATGACACTAGCATACGCAAATGGACTATGCACAAATGTAGGAATATGCTCAGATTGTGGAGTCGTATGATGAGTCATAGTTTGTGTGTTTATGGATGGAGGGACACTCGACACTATAGGATGAACACTTGACATGAGGAGTGGAACACTTGACACGGTCGGAGGAGGAACATTTGGCACAATGTTCAATGGGGCGCTCGGCTGCTGATGTAAAGGGCCAGTAGATGTCTTATTAAAATTCCATAGGTATTGGACAAGAACTTGCACCATTAGAATATTGCGGGGGTGAGTGCAAATTACAATCTTTGGAATTGTAATTGGTTTTAGGTGTTGATGCTTCACTACACTCCTCAATCTTATTTAACGTACAAAGCATGTCAATATTCATGTAACGATTCCATTCCGGCAACTCGTCTTGCACTAAACGACCGTCCTTTATCAACTTGGCAGGATATACTATTTGTACTTTAGACTGGGGAAATTCCCTTCTAAGATCCTTCAACTTTTGGTATAATCTAGCGCGTGCATTTTGGATTTCCTTCGGAAAGTCATGATCGACCGAAAAGCGCGTTTCTTTGAGCATATAGGTTTTACTCATTATTTGCTCAGTGTCGCAGAAATCTCTGAAGTTTACAATAATTGGACGGCGCTGAATGTTCTTAATTTGATCTGGTTTACCGATCCTATGGGCACGTGCTATATAAATTTTCCTGGAGTCGATATCTAGATGGTTAGCTAAAAAGTCACGTATAATCATGAAACAGTTCTCTCCCCTGGTCTCTGCGAATCCCCGGAAAATCAGATTGTTCCTACGAGATCTGGCATTTCCATCAATAGATCTATAGACTACCGATTTCAAGCATTCAGTTTGGGCATTTGTGATTTCGGTTACTTGTGCAATTTTTCTGTTAGTGTCAATAATGCATCTCTCGAAAACATTCTCGAAATTATCAAATCTATAACCAAGTTCCTTTTGATCATGTTTCATAGAACGAATATCGTCAAACATACAACCCAGTTTTTCATGTAAAGAAGTCTGCATAAACTCTTCTCGAGTCATTTCTTCATTTTGGCGCACTAATGGACCGAACCGGTTCTTTGTTCTTACCGAATAATCGTTCTCTGTCATCATTGTTTATCAAATAATCTACAGTTTGATAATCTATATCCATTCACTAACTATATATCTATCAATATTTCAATACTTAAAATCCACAAATTTTCTTTTAAACACAAATATCATTTTTTTTCTAAAAATAAACAGAGATTCAAAATTTTCATGTCCGCCATATTTAATACCCGGAAGTTCTGGACTTTGAAAATATTTGAACTATTACAAAAACTTTAACATAAGTGGTTACGCCGACGCCGACGCGGACGCCGACGCTCGGGTGACGGCAATAGCTCTACTTATTCTTTTCGAATAGTCGAGCTAAAAATCACAATAATTATTGTCGTAGTCAGAGTGTGACAAAACAACATTCAACTCCGAAGCGGTTATGTTTTTTTTTAAACATTCATTGTTTAGTCATCATATAAACTATTCCAGAAACTGCGGTGTCCCGTTAGGGCCATTGCGACACTCACAAACATGTACGTCGAAAAAACGGAAACACGAAAATATGATGGTTAAAAGTTGAAATAACGGAACCACAGTGGTGAAAAGAAAAGTCTAAAGTATGATAGTGAAAAGTCGAAAAAACGAAACCGCGATGGTGACAACTCGATATAGTTTCGACTTTTTATCATCGTGGTTTCGACTTAACACCATCGTACTTTCGGCTTTTCATCACCGTGGTTTCAACGTTTCATCATCGTACTTACGATGTTTGTATCATCATTGCTTTCAACTTTTCATTACCTACTGTCTAGTTTTCACCACCGAATTTTCGCCTTCTTGTCAATCATACGCACTGCATGTTACTTTATACATGTATAAAGATGTCATCGGTAGTCCGAAAAAGTTGACGTGTAAAATAATGCAAAACGCACAATAAGGTCGCCTCATGCTTACATCATGATCCAAAATCATTAACATTATTATTTGTTTGTAATTGTATCTATGAAAAAACATTTTCTTAAATCGTTATCCATTGTTATGATCTCTGTGCGCATGCCAGACATGAAGGAAACCCTACGATAGTGAAAAGTCCAAAATACGAAGGTGAAAAGTCCAAATAAAGAGGCCACGATGGGGAACATTCGGAAATACAATTATAGTGAAAAGTCGGAATTACGAACTACGGTTGTGAAAAATCGAAAAAAACGATTATGAAAGGTCAAAAATACGGTGGTGAAAGACGAAATAACGAAACCGCGATGGTGACAACTCGATATAGTTTCGACTTTTTATCATCGTGGTTTCGACTTAACACCATCGTACTTTCGGCTTTTCATCACCGTGGTTTCAACGTTTCATCATCGTACTAACGATGTTTGTATCATCATTGCTTTCAACTTTTCATTACCTACTGTCTAGTTTTCACCACCGAATTTTCGCCTTCTTGTCAATCATACGCACTGCATGTTACTTTATACATGTATAAAGATGTCATCGGTAGTCCGAAAAAGTTGACGTGTAAAATAATGCAAAACGCACAATAAGGTCGCCTCATGCTTACATCATGATCCAAAATCATTAACATTATTATTTGTTTGTAATTGTATCTATGAAAAAACATTTTCTTAAATCGTTATCCATTGTTATGATCTCTGTGCGCATGCCAGACATGAAGGAACCCCTACGATAGTGAAAAGTCCAAAATACGAAGGTGAAAAGTCCAAATAAAGAGGCCACGATGGGGAACATTCGGAAATACAATTATAGTGAAAAGTCGGAATTACGAACTACGGTTGTGAAAAGTCGAAAAAAACGATTATGAAAGGTCAAAAATACGGTGGTGAAAGACGAAATAACGAAACCGCGATGGTGAAAGGTCGAAAGTACAATGGCACCATTGTGCTTTCGACCCTTCACAGTCTAGGTTTAGTTATTACAACTTTTCACCATCGTACCGTCGACTTTTCACCACCATCGTGGTTTTGTTATTTCGACTTTTCACAATCTTGTTTTCGTTGTTTCGATTTATGTTTGGGTCGCGATGGACCCAACGGGACACCATAAGAAAACAGCGTTACAAAAATCAATGCCACTGAATATTTTAATCGTTAATATTCTACCCGTAAAAATATTATCGTATGTTCAAGATTAAAATAACGCAAGATTTCAGACAAGAAACCTTTGGACAAAAATTGACAAACCATTTTGTACTTTATAAGTGAGTTCAATGTTCCTATAAGCATTTTAATCAACTGCCACCTATCAGAATCTTTTGAAACAGCGGTACATGCGAACAATTTTTTGTTATTTTAATCATATTGTAAATAAACCGTTTTATATATCTTAAAATCTTAAAAATCTCGTTTAGTTATATGATAAGTTAAGAGTAAATCAAACAAATGATTTTAAAGAGCATCGTTAAACTATGGTTAAAGTATGAAACTGTAAACCTTTAGAAATTAGTGAACCAATGAAAACATTACGAAACACTTTTATGACCTGGCACTTGCCAATCGGATCTCCATCACCTTATAATTAGTATTTTAAGATTAAATGATACTACTCATAAAAAGAACAATTTAACAGTCATCCTTTGACTTACTTATGAATTTTATCCATGAAGGTAGTGATATTAATAGAATACTCACAGTAGTCCCTCCACATGTGACCATTAACTCTATATTTCTTATATCCGCTCCATACTAAAATATAAAGCCACAGTGTCTTAGCAATGAATTACATATATACATAATTTGCATATCATCTCTTCCAAAATAAGCTTTAAATGTAATGCTGTGATATTTTAACTCTATTTACTTTAAAAATCTTTACTAAAAGTGTGCACTTAAAACATAAGTAAACAGGAAGAAAGAAAAGTAGTCTCTTAAAAAATTCCAATACTACAAATAATTCTTAATAGAATTGTCGAATATATCAGCCATGAAGGTCTATTGTTATAATCGAGTAATTTGTTTCTAAGTATAAAGGAACAATTCATTTCCTATTAGATGCACCGACCAGTGGAATAATTTAAATAAAAACATTGTTATCAGTGAAAGCATATTGGCATTTAAAACTCAACTTGACCGGAGCTGGAATATAAATTGTTGATACCAGTGACATTTATTGAAGTTATCTTTGACTATACAGAATAAGAGGAGCTTACAAGCCATCTTGGCTTAAATTCTCAGAAGAAGAAGAAGATGAAAAAGAAGAAGAAGGTCAAGTAAAGGTAAAGTAGGAAAAATATCTTACCAAGATCATGAATTCTTCCAGATCTAGGACTTTTGAATTTATCAGCTTAAAGGTTGTGTAACTATTAATTAACGAAAAGTGGTCCATCAGTGCGGCGTCGACACCTCCTTGTGTAGGACTTTTAATGGTAAACGACGGAGCTGTTCCCGGAGGTTTGGTGGTATTAAATATAACAGTGCCTATAAATTTAATGATCTAGTTATTGTGAAATCATGTTTTACACAATAATGATTAAGAATGCTGCTATGCTTAAGTGGTTATTACTCACATGCATTTTTCCTTTCAATGACATGTTTTTTTAGTTTCTTATTCTGTTTCTGTGAATGCGAAGAAAATCAATAATACTATCATATTTAGAGCTCGGATTTGTGGAAGATTGTATCGGAACAAGAAAAGGTGGTCAAATGTCAAGTGAATGCATCTTCGGTATGAAATGAATTCAAAAAAGACTAAAAACAATTTTTATCGGAGCAATGCTTGGAAACTCAGTTACATCCAAACAGTGGATTGTAATATTTCAATACATTATCGAAAATCATGAAAACATGTACATGCTTATAAATCTATTATTCTATCTGCCACACCTTTTGATTTTTTTATTGAGTCAGTATAATAACTGTTTACAAATATACTTATTTTGAACTGTTTATTTTAGACCATACAAATGCACGTATACGAGAACTAAAATTTATGTACCAATTGGTGCTGTTTCCGAGATAGTAAATGGCGACTGGAAGTCACATACGGCATACGCTGTAAAAATATAATCTTAAATCATTGTCGATTGTACTCTACATGAAATACTGGAACATGCTATAAAATATAATCTAAATTTTATTATCGATGGCACCCTTCATGAAATACTTGAACATGCTGTAAAATATAATCTAAAATTAGTGTCAATTGGAATTGTTCGTAGTAAGATATAATAAATATCACTTCATCTTAAAAGCTTAATAACAGTTTTGCTTTAATTGTAAGCAATCATATGAACATGTTTCTTACTCATGTATCTCTTATGGTTCTCTTAATGTGATCATTCGATAATTCACTTTGTGGAAAACGCTCATTGTTATATAATTTTACTCTCTAATAAGATTGATAATGTCTCTAAACAAATAATTATCTCCCCATCCTATATTACATTACATTAAGATAAGTCAGACAAAAATAACCGGAGACTATTGCAAAAAGACCCTCGACAATATTTAAGTCGCTTTTACATGTATCAAAATTTCATGAGTTCAAATATGGCCTTCTTACCTGGAAACAAGTTTTGGGTCATGTTTTCAAAATTCAAAACATACCTTGATGTGTCATTATGCACACGAACATACATATTGAGAGTTTCTTTTGTTCCATTCTGATCATCATAATTCTTTGAAACTGAAATGAAATATTTTATTCATATTAATAATCCGGAAGTAAATATAACCAACCATCTTATCAACGTGTATGACTTGTTATATTTTGTAATCCTTTTTAAAATCGCGCATCTATGAATAATTACAGTAGATTCAAGATGGGAAAAAGGTAAAGAAAGATATCATTAAAAGCACGCGATTACCATGAAATATCTAAACAAGGGCAAGGGTATCGTAAGCGGGTCATTTGTAAACTTATTTATCTTAGGTGTGCTAGAGAGGCCCCTCCTCCTCCACCTTTGAAAAATCAGGGATCAATAGTTTACTTAGGATACACTTTGACTTTTTATCAATGGAACACGCCACTTAAAGTATTTTTGATACTAAGCCCACACTTACAATCTTCATGTGGGCTTTCAATCGTAAACAAGTGATTGCCCATACGGTAATTTTAAAAAATTTACTCAGTAAGGACTTAACATTCTTTTTTCTGACCTGTTGTATCTTTAACATATTTATAATTTTTACCTTTTTATATATTTCAAAAGTATGAAACCAACTCTGTTTAAACTGATCTGGATCAGATTATGTATAATATTAGAATCCTGAATATTTATCTGCTCTTGCCATAGGTAAGAATTTTCTGTTCTTTCTCTAACTGACTGGGTATTTTAACCATTTGTAAATGTAATCGGACTGGTAAGCACTTAAAATAGAATCTCATACAGTGAAACACGAAATAACAGTAGGTTACATGTAATACCTTCAAGATAAATGGTTGCTCATGGAAAATATTTCCAACCCGTGTTCACTTGTTTATTTGAAAGTTTCCGTAAGTAACTTCTTTTTTGTTCCCAATATCGCACACAAATACTGGAAAAAAAAGATTTTTGTTTACTTTTGTGAATAATGATGTGGATGTAGAACTTCCTGAGTAATCTGAGTTCTATATTTTAATCGTGGAGGTACGGAAACGTTAAAGGACCTCCAATAAATGAGATCGTGATGTGTAAGTGGTCTGACTTTAGTTTGTTTTAACACAAATCTATTTTATAAACAAAGATAAAAATAAACGTTTATTTCGCCAAACCTTTTCTTGATATGCTTGAAGTTTTGTCTAAGCAAATAGGTATCTTTTCGTCCTTCGTAAAACATTTGTTTTTGTGACAAAAATTCACCTAGAGAAAAAAACTAAGCGACTACGAATGACAAAACAATGGTCTAATCTTTGCGAATAAAATAAATTGATAAATGTTCAAACATCGATTCACATCGAACAAAAATCAGTCGTCTCGCACTAAATGGATGCCCTTTAATGTTTCCATATGGATGTTATTTAAGCAGCATGTAATCACAATTTTACATTTATCTGGAATATAATCAAGCTATCTCACCGCTCAATATTTTAACTGGAGATGAATTTTTCTTGATTTGCTACCCAGTCTTTCTTTTGTCGATTAAAAGGTAAATGTTATATATATATGAACAATTTATCGTATAAAAAAATAACATGTATATTGTATAGAAAACTGCCAGAAATATATAAACAAATATGCCATATATCTACAACTATGTATTTTACGCAATGAAATTGTTTAAATTGTTATATTGCCCGACAAAATGGATATTAATTACGAAAACTAAAGATGTAGGACGGCATTAAAAATGTAACTATAAAAATGAAACTTACAAATTTGCGATAATCTGTGAAGAAATGTCCTGTTTCTACAACATTTTTGCTATTATATAAATTTCAATCAAACCAACACTGTTTTCAACAAACGTGTGCCTTTTGCGTAATGCTTTTCATGTTGATATGTTTATTTCTACAGATAAGCTATACTTATAATCTTTATCACAATTACTTTAAATATTGACATGTCGATATATAAAAGATAAATTTATCTCACTGTTCCTTCCATTTCAATTTTTATACGTCTTAAAACAAATACATTTTCATATACATTTGTGTACATTGTAAATCATTTTTTTAAATATAAAATAGTGATTAAAAGGGTATTGAATTGACCATTTCTATCATTTTCTATACCATTTAGCTTATTTGACTAGTATATTCTGATTTTATTGACCTGTCAATTATGAATACATTATAGCACTCATTAAAGTATTCGATCCCACTTCGGTTCTGTCCGTATAGCTCACGAGAGTTAATGTATGTGGAGTATATAACTAATGTTTAAGAAAAGTCACATTAGCTTAATGTATATAGATTCTCGTCTTATCCGCAAAAGCAGAGTCGGTTAAGTGATTCCATTATACATGAGAGGTTTGTGGCTCGATCCCTACCTTTGCCATTGTTTTAGACCTATTCTTTATTTTTGAAGTACATTTTAATGGAAATGGCAAAGTGCTTGCAAAATAGTCTACTCGGATATTAAACAACTTAGAAACACTGATTTGTCTCGTTTTTTGCATTGTATTTTACGGCATTGAAATGAATTGATTTTTATCCGAATGCATTTTAGATATAATTTTCTTAAACCATGGTATTTAAAAGAGTATAGACTTTCCCAAAATAAGTGCAAAACATATTAAAACACAAAAGAACAACAGACAAAAAGACAATAGCTTCAATAATGTTGAAAATAGTCATAAAATAATTTAAAAATACTTGGACATACGCGGACACGTAGGCCATTTAGAAATTATAAACCGTAGTTTACCTTAATGCGCTATAACTGTCAGTTAACGGTCGGTTCTATTTCAGAGAAACTAATTAAATTTAATCACATCTTACTGTGTACTGTACATCTTACGAAATTTACCGAAAATTTATCGAAAATTAATATACATTTCAGGACAATTCATAGTACATGTATACATACCAGTGTGCCTGTACTCCTAAATCAACGGGAGATAACCTGGTTTGCTAAAAGTTATCTTTGCATGTTATTAGAAATATAAATCTACGGTTATTTTCTATTTATTCTCCCAAATCTTTAACAAGACAAATTATGTTATACTTATTTATAAAGTAAACTTAAATTGATGATGACAACATGTAATTGAAATTAACAAACGGTTTTAATAAGATTTATAAGTCATGGTCGCATTTATGATTAATATCATTTATATTTGAAAACAAGTACTTTTGTATTAGTCATGTTATATATAAACTATATTTTACATTGAAATCATTAAGACCTTACTCTTAGGAATCATTTCTATAGTAAGTGTCGCCAGGACGTCAGGTTCATCCGCGTATTTTGTGATTATGCATTTATTGTCATTCTATAAGCCAAAGCTACTTTAAACTTTGAATGCGTTGTAATTTGTTGGATACTTGTAACAAAATAAAAATATTTCTTTCTTTTACATCGCTAGCTTTAAGCTGTTTTGAGAACTACTTGTTGTTAGGTTTGTCGGGAAGCGCTGTTCCTGAGATTGAATGTCAGCATTGTATTTCCTGATCCGCGATCAGAAAATACAACAACGTTATGTTAAATTTCAGCTGAGAGGAGTAGTCAAATATGAAATATTGCAAACCAACACAATAAATATGCACCGACAACGGTTACACGTGTAATGTAATGTCGGATATTTCACACAAACATTTGTGGTGTCCTTTGGACGAGTGTTGCAAGGGCACTGACAACGGTTGCAATCAAGCAATTGACTAAATAAATGTCTTTCCTATTAGTAATCGTCTGCAATTTCAGTACTCCGTCGCCCAGCATATAACATTTGTCCCAGTCATGACGAAGTGTAGGGTGGTTGTTGACATCTGAAATGTAAAACAAATCACAGCAGAAAAAGGGTTGCGGAGGGTGGGAAATTAAATTCCTAATTTGTTTAGATTTTTGTAAAAAGAATTTTACCATAAGATCAGCCGCTATCTTTTCTCATGAAAAGGACATACCGGGCTCACATATAGCGTTCTAAATATAGCTCTCAGATTGAGCATGTTTACTGATACGCAGTTCTAATGATCGGTAAATTAAGAAATGTGTCTTTCATGTAAAATAAAAGAGTTGAATCTTTAATGATTAAACTTTGATATTATATCAACTACGTAACATATTATAGTTGCCTTTTCCTAATAATAACTATCAAACATGATTATAAAATGTATTGTCTTTCTAATTCACAAGTTCTTCAAAATACAAACTTTATTTTAGAGGCGCATTTTAATTATTCAGAGTCATGTTTTCCTCCCATCCTCGCTTACCATTCTTTTCTCCTTTTACACTTTTTTTCCATATAATTATAATATTGAGAAATATTGAGCAATTTTCTAATATGAGTGATTACATATAAGTAATGTTGATATGAATATTAAATCAACAATTGAAAAAAATTGAAACCTTACACTTATATTGGTCAATTCTATTGTAGTTGTCTCCAGGACGTCAGATTCAACAGTTACTGACAAGACCTTATAGATTAAACCACAAAGACGAGAAAAAGCGCCCCCTTCTGAGCGCGTAGTGTGCACGAACTGTTGAATTTATACACACCTGCATTTCCGGATGTGCAAGATTTGTATGTTGATATATATAGATATTCTATATTTATAAGCCTGCATTAAAGGTACGAGAATAAGCTCGGCACAATTATAAAAGTGACCATTTACTTTGCAGCCGATTATTCATGTGTACGTATGCATTCATGAAATGCATTCCATGTTTGTCTTTCAAAACGGTGGGAAACCAGCATTTATAATAATAGATTGAAGCTGCTCATTAATAATTTTTTGAAATGATTTAACATATAAATAAAATCCATATGAAAGTGTACGATTCTGATGTGACGGGAAAAACAAGCAGAGATCAGTTTGTCATCTGTAAACACAAGAGAAAATGGTTTATTATAGACGCATGGACTTTTTTTGCAAGATAAATTTACATGAAAATTTATGTAAATTATAAGGTTGGTTAAAAGCTACTAACTTTACAATACAGTATATATAGTCATTGTGTTCTCTATACTCTTGGGAGGTCCGGAGGTAATGGGTTATCCAATTGAACTATTCCCATTCCACATTTGACCTTCTTTTTTTCACCTTTCAGTACAAAATAAGCACGGCTTTATATCTACATGTACTTAAATGATGAGTACGAATTAAGCATATATAAATCATTTTTATAATGAGGATAAACGGAGCGTGTGTATATGTACGCAGCTGATTATATTATAGATACATGTCATTTGTTTATTTATTTGTACATAAACAGCATGGAAATCAATGCTAAAAGTGTCCGGTTGTTTTTCTCAATAGATTCCGTTGACATGAAAATGAATATGGGCTGGCGTAGAGAAAGATCTATGTTTATAGATTTTGTTCATTTAGTACCAGATCTCTCATCGATCTATGGTTTTTGTTCACATTTTCTAAAATATTATACACATGTAGGACCCTCTGTTTGTATTTACTTAATAACGTTATTTTACGGTAAATATATAAATCTTAAGAAAGAAGGTGATTCTTAATATAAGCCGTTATTTCTGTCAAAGCTGCCATGCAGTGACGAATACGTGCATGCATTCATTAGATCTGTATGTTGTATGTCTATATTTATATTCTATATTTATAGAACTGCATTTAAAGTATGAGATTGAGCTCGGCACAATTGTAAAAGTGACCATTTACTTTGCAGTTGATTATCCATGTGAACGTATGCATTCATGAAATGCCATTCCACGCTTGTTCTGTTTTAGATTCTAAGTCTATGTAAATCGAAAGAATGTTTTCAAAGCGGTGGGAAACCAGCATTTATAATAATAGATTGAAGCTGCTCATTAATATTTTTTTGAAATGATTTAACATATAAATATAATCCATATGAAAGTGTACGATTCTGATGTGACGGGAAAAATAAGCAGAGATCAGTTTCTCATCTGTAAACACAAGAGAAAATGGTTTATCATAGACGCAATGACTTTTTTGCAAGATAAATTTTACATCAAAATGTATGTAAATTATAAAGTTAGTTAAAAGTTACAAACTTTTCCAAAAAAAGTATTTTATTTTCTAATTTTCTAATACTACTTTTTGATGGGGCCAGAGTAATTTGGGGTTTTCTTTTAAAAAAAACAAAGTCCATTTTTCGCCAAACATTCCCTATTTTTTTTACCTTCCTTTAAATTTCCCAAGAGAAATGCGTTTTTTCATTTTTTATTTTCACGGTTTAAAAAATTTAAATTTTTTACTCAATAAATTTTTTTATGTTTTATATAAAAATTATTTTAATTTATATAAAACATAGCTATAAGATTATGATTATGTTACCGGGGTTTTTTTAATTGGGGCGTCGAAAAAACCCACCTCCCTTTATCTTATCATATTACAACCCCTTTTACCCCAAAATCCTGGGGACCGGCCCTTTGGTTTTTGGGCACCTAAAACCCTTTTTTATTTCAATTTTTTTCCCAAAATTTTTTAACCCATTGACCAAAGCATTTATTTGCCCGGGACCCCCAATTTATTTTTAGAAATGTCCAAAATTTACCTTTTATTTAAGGTTAAAAAAGGGTTTTCAAAGTACCCCCTTTGTTTAAGCTTTTAACCGGGGGCCAAACCCCAAGGCTAAATAAGATTTTCATTTTCATCCCACCGATATTTCAAAGGAGGAGGGAATGGTTTTCACACCTTGGTTAAGGGAGCGGGTGGTTTTTCAAAATTTACAAAAATTTTCGAAAAACGGCGTTTTAATTTTTTGAAAACACTTGGAACCAGTTTTTGCCAGGCCCAATTTGGGTTTCCCCTTTTTTTTTGAAAATTTTTCATTAGAAAATTTTAATTTCCCTAATGCAAAATTTTTTTCCCCACCGGTTTAAAGGTTTTTGATCCCCAGATTC